ATCCAAGGGTACTGAGAGAGTTGTTGGAAGAGCTTGCTAAGCCACTCTCCATCATTTATCATCAGTCCTGGCTAACCAGAGAGGTCAACTGGAGGTTGGCCAATGTAACACCCATCCACAGGATGTGCTGAAAGGAGGCTCTGGGGAGCTAAGGCCTGTTGGCCTGACCCTGGTGTCCAGGAAGTTTATGGAACAGATAATCTTGAGTGTGATCACGTGGCACATACAGGACAACCAAGGGATCAGGACCAGCCAGCATGGGTTTAGGAAAGGCAGGTTCTGCCTGATCAATCTGATCTCCTTTTGTGATCAGGTGACCCACCTAATGGATGAAGGAAAGGCCGTGGATGTTGTTTTCCTTAAGTACGTAAGGACTTAAGTAAAACCTTTGACACTGTTTCCCGCCACATTCTCCTGGAGAAACTGGCTGCTCATGGCTTGGACAGATGCACTCTTTGCTGGGTTAAAAACTGGCTGGCTGGCCAGGTCCAGAGAGTGGTGTTGAATGGTGTCATATCCAGTTGGTGGCTGGTCACTAGTGGGGCTTAGTGTTGGGGCCAGCTCTGTTTAATATCTTTACTGATGATCTGGATGAGGGAATTGGGTGTAAGTTTGAGGACAACACTAAGTTGGGTAGGAGTGTTGATCTGCTGGAGGGCAGGAAGGCTCTACAGAGGGATCTGAACAGGCTGGATCGATGGACTGAGGCCAATGGTATGAGTTCAACAAGGCCGGGGCAAGGTCCTACACTTTGGCCACAACAACCCCATGCAGTGCTACAGGCTTGGGGAAAAGTGGCTGGAAAGCTGCTCAGCAGAAAAGGACCTGGGAATGCGATCTGACAGCCATCTGAACAGAAGCCAAGAAGGCCAATGGCATCCTGGCTTGTATCAAAAATAGTGTGGCCAGTAGGACTAGAGCAGTGTACTCAGAACTGGTGAGGTTATATCTTGAGTACTGTGTCCAGTTCTGGGCCCCTCACTGCAAGAAAGACCTTGAGGGGCTGGAGTGCATCCACAGAAGAGAATGGAGCACAAGTCCTGTGAAAAGCAGCTGAGGGAGCTGGGGTTGTTTAGGCTGGAGGAAAGGAGGCTCATGGGAGACCTTATCACTTTCTACAACCACCTGAAAGGAGGTTGTAGCCAGGTGGGGGTCAGCCTCTTCTCCCAGGCAACTAGTGACAGGAAAGGAGGACATGGCCTCAAGCTGCACCAGGGAAGGTTCAGGTTGCATGTCAGGAGGAATTTCATAATGGAAAAGCTTATTAAACATGGGAATGGACTGCCCAGGGAGGTGGTAGAGTCACCATTCCTGGAGGTGTTCAAGAAATGGCTGTATGTGGCACTTAGTGCCGTGGTCTAGTTGGCAAGGTGGTGATCCGTCAGAGGTTGGACCTGATGAACTTAAAGGTTTTTTCAATCTAAATGATTCTGTGATAACTGCCTTATGCTAAGTATTGAATTGATACCTACAATTTTTTCAACTGTCTCTGATGTCAGATGGGTCAACCACAAATGAAGAATCTCCCAATATCCCCTAGATCTACTTAGGGTAACTAAAGAATTAAAAGAAGACTGCTCTTCTGTCATTTTCATAATTATTCTGGAATTAATTTTCTCTTTCAAACGTGATTTCTAAGGGCAGATGTGCACGAAGTTGCTCCCATGTAACTAAACTATAAATAAGAGTAATAACTTTAAAAAAAAAGAGTACTTTGCAGAGAAAACTTGCGTGTTGCTAATGCAAATGCTCGAAGCGTAAGCGTAAGTCTGAAGCTTGTTGGAAAAAATATCTTTTGGAAATGTTACCTTTTCTCATAAATGAAAGTAAAATCAACATGAAAATGAACACTGATGTTAGGACATGAGTATGTTATCTCTTCCTTCTCTCAGGCACAGCTGTTGTCTCTTGTTTTTTTCAGAAAACGTGCAGTGAAGACAATGAAATACTAGTGTTTTCCAGGTTTAATTTCCAAGTGGGAGTGGGGAACACAGAAGCAATATTCAAAAGTACACCTTGCTATTAATTTATCAAATTTCTTAATATTTGAAACAGGGGTTGAAGCAGAAATAGTAGAATGAACTCCCTGGACGTGAAAGAAGAAGGAATGGATCTTTGATTAGAAAACTGCTCCGAGCAGAGTATTTCCTCCAGAGCTATTCTAGGGCTTTGGCAGAGAGTTTTTCCTGTCTACAGAATTAAAATGCTTTGCCCATCATGTCATTATTCATTATAATTTTTGCCTGGTTTGGGAACCACTATATAGTAGACGATCACTTCTTAGCACAGTGAGCTCTCTTGCCTTCAGGACACATACACAAGTATAGAGGACTTGGGCAAACTGCATTCCCTGGCTTGCTGCCTGTTTTGTGTGTTTGAGAAGTGCTTCACATGTACTGAAACAGGCGTGTATTATCCTTCTACAGTCAGTATTTAAGTGACATGCTTTTTCAACTCAGCATACCCCGCAAAACTGGGAGGCTTTGCATTGCTTTAGAAAAGAAGATTAATGCTGGTTAGGAGGATGATATTAATTTGAGATGAGAAGAATAATTTTAGCTACTAGGTGAAAAAGTGAAGATGACATAATCCTTCAGCAAAGGAACTATGTAAGAGTAGCTGCAAGGACTTTTTTTTTTTTTTTTATAACAGTAAGCACTATAGAAGAGGCCAAACTCTATTTTCAGATCTTCACTAATTTGTCAGAGAAATTTACTCTGCATACTTAAAGCTTGGGTAATCTTATTCTCAGTGCTGCATGTTTACGGATTTCTGGAAAAACGGTTCAGGTGTCCTGGAAAATGTAAAAGAATTTTTTGTTTAAGGAAACATTGAAGCATTCTTAATCTTGAAATTTTTACTGACCAGCTGTAACAGTGCTTCTAGAAATATTTGCTTCAAAAGTGCTTACAGAAAACATTTGAAGTATAGAATTTGAAGGGGGAAGTAACCTAAGGAATCTGTGGGCTTTCTGTTTTTTTCTGGGTTGTACTCCTCTGGTTTTGAGGTAAGGTAGCTGTAGAGCCTCAATTCCAAATAAACTCTGGGTGGATAAATGAACAAGGTTTACATTTAATTATGTTGAAAGCTGATGTTCAGGGGACAGGCTGGGAAAATCTTCTTTTATTAGAAAACTACTTGTGTCAGCGCAGATAAATAACAAGAATCAGAATTTCACATTTGGAAATTGCTTTTCATCTATTTCTGCAAATAATTATTAATTCAAGTGAATACAGATGCATGAACAAGGCTGAAGCCAATCAGTTCTGAATCTTATGGTATTCCTTGTGGGTTTTTTCCAGTCTGGCAATTTGTGTAGTCAATCCATAGTTAATGTAAAAGCAACGACTTCACATTGAAAGTATCCTGAGTTTGTGTAGGAAGGTATCACTTATGGGGACAACACCCCCTCCGCTCTTTTTTTTTTAAAACTGTAAACTGTGACTGGAATACAGATGACTGCTTTGTAAATAACCATATTGCTAAGAATGTAAAATAAAAGCAAAAAAAACCAGGTGAGGCAAGCTGACTCTAAGTCCTTCCATGCCAGAACAAAATTAAGCTACTAATTCTGTTTGGGGAAGAAAGATGGTATTAAGTTTGCTGGATTATTCAACATCTGTTTAGTGTGTATCTCATCACTTAGCTGGATGTTATGCAGACTCATTAGAATTCTAGAAGAATTATTTAAGTTTAAATGTTAAAATATCACAGTGCACTGAAGCAGACTTTTCCTCACTGTTATTCTACTTACATTTTATTTCACCAGCTTAGAGGCTGAGCAGGAGATGTGTTTGAGTTTTGATTTACATGCAGCCTAATACTCTTTTCAGCCTTTCAGCTGTCTCTAGCATGAATGCACATATCTTTTGTGAGTATTTGTATCCACGTTGGTTTTGATCAGCAATTTCTCAGAAAATGGAAAACTTGCAGAATGGGTGTGAATTGTACTCTTCTATTAATTTCTATCATATACTGAGAGAAAAAAAATTGTACATAATATTCCCTGTTTTTAATACAGCTTTGGGATGATTTCCTTTCTTCCAAAAGCTATGATGCCTGTTTAAAAGAAGAGTTGCTCAGCCCTGACAAATTATACTCCAGAAACCATGGGCAAACTATGATGATGAAATACTGACCACTTCGCATAATTCATCTGGACTTATGTTATTTCTGCTCTGTCTCCTAGAGGTTAGAGAACTTACTTAATTTTGTATCAAAAGCAAGTGGATAATCACATTTGAAATACATAATCTTTGCAGCTAATAAATGAATCACCTATGGAGAACTAAAAGAACCAGTGTTGCTGCTACTTCTATCAATACTCATTATGGAAGTATAGGACTGATCTAAGAGTGAGAGAGAAAATCTGCAAGCTTTTGTTATCTCATAGCTGGTGTGAATCCAGAAGTCTTGATACAGAGATCCTGGAAGCTTAATTTATACATAATTTTCCATTGACTCTTCTGTATTTTGACTACTGATCTTTTCACCTCTGTTACAGCAGACTTTTTTTAACATGCCTTGCATTACTGAACTCTTCTTTCTGTAAGTATTGTTTAAAAAAAGGAGAGAAGGATCTTGAAAAGCACTTGAAAAATGTTATCATTTGTTTTATGATGCTTATTTGGATTAACTTCATTTTATTCTAGTTCTGATATTTAACACTGTTCAAAGAACTTAATATTATGTTCTCCATGATGAAGAATCTCTTAAATAACTATAAGTTAAGCATTTTTTTTGTATTTCGAGGTGTGCCTTTTAATTTCTTTCTGTTTCAAGGTGTGCCTTTTAATTTCTTTGTGTTACTTTGTGGCTTTTATGAATTACTGTTTTCATGACCACTCTGCTCTGTGTGGTTAAATATTTTGAGTGCCCTAGCTAGAAGCAGGATGTCAGCCTGTGTGAATGTGATATTAGTGAAAGTGAAAATGTTGCTTGTGGTGTGTGTTTGTTTCTGTTACATGCAACAAATTATTCCTTAATGGTACCAATTCCAGCTTTGGTCGGCCAGGAGTTGAATGCTACTGCCAACATGATAGTGGAGCTGCAGTAATCCAGCTTCAGTTCCTGATTAATGAGGTTAGTAAAATGATGTATGTGTAATTCAAAGAAGATACAGAATGTATTTTCTTTAATTTCTCATTAACCAAACATAAAAGTTAGCTAATGCAAATGACTTAGCATGAATGACAAACAGTAAAAACAGTTATAAATAAATTAACTTTTTTAGTTTTAGAAAATGCTTGACTAACTGCTGAAAATATCTTTGTCTCTAGAGTGCTCTTTTTTGTAGTAAGCAAGAACTTAATAGGAATATCTTTTCATGTTGTTGAACATTGCAACTTATCTGTAGAAGTGGTAAAGTACTTTTTCCATAGTACTGCCAGTTTCACTAGGTAGTTCATTTTATTTTGATAGAGTTACTGTTTTAGGCATGAGCTGAATAATGTTCCCTCAAGTTCAGGTGTGTGTTTATAGGGATGTAGCATCTGACATCTGCAGCAGTGCTGTACTTGAGTTAGCTAGGGACAGATTTGAAGAGGGACATCTCTAGCTTTGTCAGCACATAGATATTAGCAGTTGAGTTCATTGCTTGATTTCTTTACAGACATGGGCATGAAGGAATTGATGTGCACACAATGGAAAAAGCTCCTTCCCCATCACCTCTCAGTATAGCTCTGAACCAAATGTGAGCAAGCTGAACATGTGATCACATCAATTACCTCATTCCTACTGTATCCTGCTTGTAATTTTTTTTCATCCTGGTGATAAATACGTGATATATTTCCCCTGTGATGATGTGCTGTTACTAGGGATATGAAAACAAGTTGACTAAAACTTTTTGTTTCTCATAGGGAGCTCTTGTGAGTGCCTTGGCTGACGATACCTTACACCTGTGGAACTTGCGTCAGAAGAGACCTGCTATACTTCATTCACTCAAATTCAACCGAGAACGGTAGGGTTTGGGTTATTATTGCCTTGCCCCTTAGCATCACACTACGTCCTATTGTAAGATCAGATTTATTAATGCAGTCCAATTCATAACTTCTTAAATAATCAAAACTGGATTTGCACTGGGCTTGAATTTCAGTCTGTTAGGGCCAATAGTACTTGTGAGTAGACACACTAGTCACCTAAACTGAGATGATTTTTCTATTACTTTACATTTTGCATTGTTGAACATCAGTTTTCACATCTTTAAAATGTGGAGGGATAGAATACTTTGAATGTATGTCTGCAAAGTAATTTTGGAACAAGAGGAAGTGTATGCACCAACAAGAGGAGTACTAGTTCAATTTTTTACCTGGAAGTTTTTCTCCCTTCATGACAAATTGAAGTTCTGCAGTGTTAGAGCTCCTGTGTGTGTCAGAGAAGCTGAAAACAACTTGCATTTCGACTAACACATTTGAGACTCAAGTAACAGCATTTTAAGCATTCTAGGGAGACTTTTAAGATTAAACTTCTAAAATTCTGCTGATTAAATGTCTGGAAAAAAAAGTCCTCTTTTTAATTGCAAATAGTACTTTCTTTTTAGGAAGCAGCCCTTTTTTTCCACTATGTATAAAGTCTCAACTGGAATAGTGTGTTTGCTTTTGAGGAGTATGCATTAGAGATGGACTGCTTGGAGAGCTCAAAGGATACTAGCAAGAACATAGAATAATCTGTGACTTGTATCTCTGTTGAATAGAGCAGGAAGTAATAAGCTTTAAGTAATGGATAGCAATAGAAAGAGGTAAGTTAAATACTTATATAATACCTTCCTTCTAATGTAGTGTCATACATAGTGCTAAACAAACTGTTGGTTGGGTTATGTAGTAACCTTGTAGTTTTAAAGAGCAGGTTATAAACAGTTTGTCAGAAATAACATAAATGCAGATTACTGGGGTTTTTTTGCATAAAGGACTAAGTGATTCTAAGTCCTTTTTGAAGTTGTTTCTAAGATCACAGTGCATAAACTTTTCAATGAGGTCTTTAGGCATAGGACAGGGGGTAATAGCTTTAAACTGCAAGATTTAGATTAAGTATTAGAAAGAAATTGTTCACTGTGAGGATGGTGAAATGCTATAACAGATTGCTCAGAAAAGCGGTGGATGCCCTATCCCTTTAAGTGTTCAAGAACAGGTTGGATGGGCTTTGATATTCTGAAAGATGTCCCTGCCTAGAGCAAGTGGATTGGACTAACTGGTATTTAAAGGCCCCTTCAGACCCAAAGCATTGCGTGATTCTGAACTGTTATACAGAAAACAGAAAGCTTTGTTGACAGTGCAAAATTCTTTCCCCAAGGGAGTGACAGTGTTCCTTTATGCAGCATAAAAGTCAAATGGAGAGAAATGCAATTTACAACCGCTAGTTTAATGAGGATTGTCCAAGTGTGGGAGATAGTGTATCCAAACTGAATTTTCTCCCTCTCCCTTCCTTTTTTTTTTTAATGACTTTTCTCTTGTAGCTCCTACTTTTGTCAATATAAAATTATGATTTGCAGCCTGAAACATTGGCTTCTAACTAATGCTTTAAAACAGGTATCTGAGGAGGTGATTCTGATTGTGTGCAAATCTGTTGTAAACTGGCTTAGAGTTTTAGATGTATTGTTATATTTGGTTAAGCAGAGTGAAAGTTTTTAACTGTCTTTTTTCTGTAAATGTGATGATGTCAATAGCAAAACCTGTCACAGGACTTGAACTGTGTCTTATCAGACACAGGACTCTTATCAGAAAGAGGAGTAGGGGTAGAAAGGATTCTAGGTCACTGATGTCACTTTAGTGGCTGTATTAGTTATTAATTTTGGGCAGAGTACTGGTTTTTTTCTGGGAAAACCTGTACCTTGCTAAGATAGGTAATAAGAGCACCATAGTCACCATGAGTGGTGTCAGTATAGTTTGAGACAAGGGCTTATTCTTCTAGTAATTTTAATCTTGACATAGCCATTACAGTAACATATAAAAGTAGCCAGAACACTTAAGATCCCAGATCTGTATGTTGGCATAGCCACTTAGGTCATACTGGATGACTGTTAAGTGTTTTCAAATATTCTATTTTCATTCAACTAGTTTATAGAATACAGCGTTAAACAATAATATGTAATAACATTACCAGGAAATTTTGATTTGAACTTGAGAGAACTGCAAAAAATTCACTCTTGAATAATTCTAAAGAGATGCCCTTAAAACACTAGGAGTTCTTAGTGATGAATTATGCCTAATAGCTTCAGTATGTGTTTTATGAAATTGGAGTAAATGGGCTTTGCTTAGGTCAGTTATGATGTGTATTAACTACTAATTTTATTGAGAAGAGCATTCACGAATAAAACTGGGTCTTCTCTGTGAGAACACATCCTTAAGGGGAAGGGAGCACCTAAGATTCATAAATGCTCGTTGGTTGAAAGGAACAACAAAAGTCAGAGGGTCTGCAAACAATCAGAGTTTTATTAGTAAATTACACAGTTAGCATGGAAATGGGTATATTAGTCCCTGACCTACTATACAAGCACATGGCTGTCAGTTTTGGATATAGGGGTAGGGTGAGAGGGAAGAGAGGAGTTAAAGAGGGAGAGATGAATTAAGAAAGAGGAAAAGAGAAAAGAGACGGGAAAAAGAGAGAATTTAAGAAAGAAAAAGAGGAGAAAAGATAGAAAGAGATCAGCAGTCATTCCAGCATTCCACCAATCCAGGTGATAAGTTTTGATCCAGCTGCTTCAGTCTGGCTGTTGAGACATTCAGGATCCTGGGGGCACTGCCCGGGCTTGGGGAAGTTCCTTTTTATGGACAGGTTTCTCTACCCCAAAGATAGATTTCGTGCTTTCTATATAAATTAGTTATCATGCATAGTCTGTTCTTTCAGGCCTTTCTGGAAATGGGTCAGAGGGCTTCAGGGGTCTTTGGTAGTCTTAACCTCACCCTATAGTCCATGTTCACTGCCTGCCACTCATTCCTGTGCTTGCACTGTACTATGTTGTGGTTCTTTCTAAAGGAAAAGTGCTTCCGTACCTCCACCTGGCCCCCCTTCTCCAGCCAAATCTTATTCTTTCTCATGGTATGTTAATACCAATAGTCCTTGATTATTACCAACAATTCTTGTCTATTAGTTACTAACAGTCCTTGGCTGGCTCCACAGCCGTCTGGTTATCAGTGTTTGAGACATACACATTAGCTCCTTATCTTCTGGGAATTGAGAGCTTGAAAGGATCTCACTTTGGACTGCTATTTACAGGGTCATTAGGGAGTGGGCTTTAATATACATTAACCTCTTATAATCAAGAGTTCAAAAGGGTCTCATTTTGGACCACTCCTTATAGGGTTGTGAGAGAGTGGGCTTTAGTCATAGTAATTTTCCATCCTGGCTGTTAATTGAGTCGGTAACTTTCTTTGAAGACTCAACAACAAAAATATTATTCTACTTGGGTTGTTAGTCACACAAGAAAAATGAATTTCCAAGACTATTTGTTAAAAACAGGTACTCATTAAATACATGTTAGTTCCTGGGAACAGACAGTGTTTCTGATAAGCTTAAGGGGGGCTTAGTCCAAGTGCACTTCATCAAGGCCGAGGCCTAATGAGCATTTCTCAGATCATAGTGTGGCCTGGGTGGGGGGAAGCAGAGAATGCAGCACCACAATCCATCCCGTGACTACAGTCAACTTCTTTTGGCCTCTAAATTCTCCATTCATGAGCACAAAAGTTGTTAGAAACCTAATTAATAAAATTTTTGAAATATTGTATGTTGTGGGAATATCTGCTCATAAGGATAACTAACTTCTCAAACAGGAGTTATTTGAAGTATTAAATACTACAACACAGGCTTGTAACTATCTTCACTAATGATACTTTGTCACCTTGTAAAGGGAGATTAAATGTCTTGGAACTCTTACTATATGACTGAAGTAGTTATTCTAGTTGCATCAGTATTTGCTCTAGGAATCTGTAGATGCTAAGGTTTAAAATTATATACCTGATTGGGATTACCTGGAAGTGTATTGACATTGCAGAAAAGCAGTATTTGTGTCCTGTTTAAAAGGAGTTGAATTTCAACATGTCACAAGTGAATTTTTATTTGCATTTTATTTCTAAATTGGGATTTGTGTAAGGTTTAGATGTGAATTAAAAGATTGTAGCATTGAAAGTAAACTGTAGCAGTTAGCTACCCAGATGAAAGGATTTTCTTAGTCTTGAAAACTATTCTTGAACCATGTTTAAAGAAATTAATTAAAAAAGTAAATTATAAAGCTATGACTTATTAATGAATGCTTTATTCTTCTGGCACAGCCTTTTACTAGCTCTGGCTAATTCCCTGCTTTAACCATGTAGAAGAGTTACTGCCCAATGTCTAACAACACAACTTTTAGATTTCATATTTGCTTATCCTGTTGGTAATTGAGTTTGGCTACCTTGCTTTCAGGTCTTTTGAACAGCTTTCAGTTAAGAAAAAAACTCTGGGTGTAGCTTGTTTATAAAAGCTTGTGTCATGTATTTAAGTATTTTTGTATATTTACGTGAAAATTAGAGTATTAAATCACCTGAAAATTATTTCAGAATGCAGTTTTTAGTATATGATAGGAAAGTAATGTTAATTCTTGTGTTTCTATTCATTAATTTTAAGAGCAGGGGGTAGGGAAAGAGTTTGTTTTTGATATAATTTTATGCCATTAAAGGCTTTGTTTTGAGCTGTGGAAAATGTCTTCATTGGGTAACTTAGATCTTTTTAGATCTGAGCAAAACATTTCTTTAAAAGCAGTGGCCAAAAGTCTTGAAAGATGCTGATTTCCATTGAATCATTAAATTAGTTGAGAATCTGTAGATAAATGACCATAATTTTATAACAGTGATGGTTAGTAATTTGAAGCAAGTCTTCTGAAGCAGGGATTGGTGAAGTTTTAGATGTATAACAAATCAGTTAGTTGAAATTACTGACAGGTGTCAAAAGCATAGTGAAAAATAAGGTAGTTCTGCACATTTTCTAGCC